AAAAACGGGACTTGCTCTCTCTCGCGAGCAGCGAGTGTTTTAAGGAGTTAGTTCAAAACCTCCCGGGGTCAGGTCTGGTCGAAGAGAAACGGTCTCTTCCAGAGTATCGTGATTTCTAGTTTAATTCCTAAATTCTACTCGCGTGAGCAATCCAATCTAATTATAGGTACATCTTATTTAACCTTCCTAGTTAACCGCATCTAATTATTAGTTATAACATAAGTCTGGATATGTGTGTAGCAACTGCAGAAGTTATAAAATACACTAATTACTTTTGAGCAATTATAAGTACGTATATATATAATAATATTTGACGAAACCTCTCCTTTTACAATAAACGCCGCCGCGCGTATACGTTTATCGTTTAACTTGGAGATCGTGTGTGTGAACGAGCGGAATCAGCGCCGGGCAGTCATCGAGCACCTACAAGGAGCCTGACCAACCGGAGTCCAGACTGAGCCGCGTGTCCCGCACCACGGACCGAACCACCAGCAAGATTCATGAAGGGATTACCGTAGGTTTCTTCTTAACCGAAAGGACGCGCAACTCTCGATTTGTTACTCGCCATTGGTTCCCGGTTTGTCCAGGTATCAATTACCAACGGTTGGACCTTGGGACATAACAGTATTCCACAATACATGATTTCTGATAGGTTGAAATTCTTATTCCCTGGTCTCTATTCCTTTCATTGTGCCTCTTAAGGTCATATCAGACTATCAACTCTGCAGGCCGACTCGACTATCGATTCTGAGTGCTGATTCTCAGCGAACTAACCATGTCGAGGTACTGACTGATTGGATTGATCGGCCAACTTACGTTTAGATTCGAGTCTATTTTTCGAGTTAGGTCATCGGCGACTCAGAATTATAAGCCTTTAAACACAATAGGCACAGGCAACAGGGAATAATGAGCCATCTAATCAGAGCTCTGGGATATAATATCGATCTTACACACCAGAGCTCTGATTGGACGGCTCGTTATTCCCTGTTGCCTGTGCCTATTGTGTTTAAGCCTTAACTAATAGAAATACAAGATTAATTACGTGATAATTTGGCGATTATCTTGTGTATAAGAAAAAGTAGTTTGTAAAACAGCTTAGTGCAGAAACAAAAACCAGATCAAAATGATATGATACAGTTATATGAATAAATATACCATTATTTGTTATATTTACGTTTCATTAACGTAAACAACACCCTAACAACATATTTGCATTGCACGTTAAAAAGTTTTGTAAATCTACCAGCCCTTAAAATTCAGTTACGTCTCGATTTTCAAATATCGTATTATATCCGACACAATTTTGAGATTTTCTCGTGTTTTAGTAAATTTTACTCTTTTATACAATTCACATATATGAATCTATAGTCTATACAGACATATTGAGTGAGTCAGTAGCAAATCGAAATATCAAGTGTGATCAATCCATAGACTATAAGGATGCCGTCCCATAGAACAAAAATTGGCAACGGAACGGAACTCGCGGAATCAACATGACGAATCACAGCCATTCCGTTTTTCTTTCTTATGACTCCCATACACAGAACGCGACAATATTTGCCGCGCGGCGGAAGTTGACTCGATAGCCAATCAACGTCTCACTTGCTCGGAAGTAATAGATATGTAATTTCTATCGCGCGACAAAAATTGAACTCAATCCAACTTTCGCTGCGCGGCAGAAATAGTATTACATCATTTTTAAAAGTTTTGCAAGGTGAAGTGAAAAACAGAATTATTGATTAATGCGACAAGCGTTGCCGCGTTCTGTATGCAGGAGCCATAAGTCGTCCTTACTATGCAAAACTTCTAGAAATGACTAATATACGAGACATTGATTAGCTATCACGCTAATTTCCGTCGCGCAGCAAGTGTTGCCGCGTTCTATATGCAGAACTGCTGGAGCCAAGACGGTGGTACCAGGGGATCGATTCTGTATCTTGAAATGAGGTGAAAATTATAAAAGTGAGCGACTTTACTAGAATACTGATTATTTCATTGATCAACACCTAGTAAATTTGCTCGCTTTTGTAATTTTCATCTTGTTTGAAGATACAGAATAGACCCTCAGACGTTTAGAACTCCTGTCACAATTTAACCATATACATTTAGTAAAATCGGAATCTTTGATGTTCGTGCTACTCAGTCATGTGACTCTCCGCCATGTTTTGAATACTATAAAGGCGTGTAATTCAAAGATGTGTAATAAAAAAACTGGTTTAAATATTTCTAGCTTATATCATACATAATTGTAATTAATGAAATAGATGATATATATAGGAGCTACAGAAAAAAGTTAAATTATTAAATAAGGTTAGATAATAAATACATACATTATGAATTTTATCGTATTTTGTATGAATAAAACACATATTTAGAGTTATTAACACATTTAGTGTTATTTTAAACTTTCAATAATTAATTGACAATTGTGCGTACAAAGTATAAAAAAATATACAATTATTATTATGAAATATTAATAATGTAATTTACAAAAAAATTAAAACAAAATATATGTAGGAATATTCTAATAAAAATTGAATATTATATCGCACGGAATGCAAGAGATCCGGGTTCGACTCCCGGCCGAGGCAATATTTTTTCGCAATAAGTTTATTACAGTTTTTTAAGATTAATTTGGGAATTTTGGGGGGATTATTACATTTCAGATTAATTGCGTTAATGTCGACAACCATATCGACACGTAATTATTATTTCTGAAATTAATTCATTCGTTTGAATAATATATATATTAGTTCAACATCTTAATTCTTAGACTGTAGTGGCGCTTCGGATTGTAATGTTATTGAATATTATATATTCTCCTTGACAAAATTACCCAGATCTGAAGTTGTTGGCTGCGGCCGAGAGACGCTATTAATACTATTTATGTTGTCCTATCTTTGTTTTATGTTTATTGAACGATAAAAAAAAACATTGAATAATATGAATAGCACTAATAGCTGATCCCCGAACTCATTCGTTAAATGTTTGATTATTTTCATCTGGTTCTTGATGGCACTGGTGAATCAATTATCATGTTTTTTCTGCTGCAAGGAAAGAGAAAAAATAAAATCAAATATACTAAGATTCATATTTACAGCCGAATCTAACATCAAAAATTGTTCTAAATTAATCTGTCATGGTATTTACATTATTCAGTAAGAAATTATAACATAGATGTAATGTAACTATAAATGCTCTTGTGTTGACGATGTCTCATTAACTACCATCTTAGAATAAATTTTTACATCAGACCACAGATTGTAAATAGTAGCTTTATAATTAATTTCATGTATTTCATTCATATTTTCATATTTATGCATTTATTTCAGTCTTATAATTTGAAATATCGTATCTTAGCACGCACATTTTAATTATTGTTTTATGGAATAACATTGATATATTTTATATAAAAAAATCACTTAGTGTTCATTAAGAATGATATTTAGTAATTTATTAATAAGACATTTTTGATAATCATTATCTATTTTTAATTATTGTCTATATCTATGCTAATTTAAACTTACATGAATTATTGCTTTCATCTAGGCCTGTTTATTTATGTAACGATTCGTTTGCTTTTATTTTTAATTCCTCCTGATAAGATTTCTGTCTAAATTCTATATTCTCTGTGATAAAAATATTTATTAGTATCTCTTAAGCTATAATAATTTTTCATATGCAGCATAAACGTCATCTGATTCATATTTTTAAGAACTTATTGAATATGCATCAGCTCACAAAAAACTTTTAAAACTAATGATAGAATTTTACTGTTGCAGCATATGCTGCATATGAAAAGTCAGTTTCAGTTGAGTAAAATATAAAGCAGAATATTATCTCTTGAAATAACGTAAATGTCATTGGGTTTGTCATAAAATTTGACGTGATTTGTATTGCATTTGATATAGCTGTAGGAAGAAGTCTAGTTTTCAAGTTATTAAGATACATGTTTTCATTAAAATGAGCAAATTTGATAATTTTTATAAAGTTCTTCAGTTATTCTATCAATCATACGATTACAAGATTTTAAGCCATAATTTAGACCTGCATATGCAAAAATATAATTGTATAATTTCAATTTTCCTGTGTGATGTGTAAAAACATATCTGGACAAAATGCAGGAATAAAGTTTTTTGTTTTTCAAAAGATCCAAAAATGTAAGTAAAAATTTTCTTTATAAATATGCATATTAATATATTGGGTCACCTAAAAAGTATCCGCGGTTTTTTGTCACTAGATGTGTGTTGATGATCATATATCTAGTGACAAAGTACCGCGGATACTTTTAGATGACCCAATATATGACCATCAACACACATCTAGTGACAAAAAACCGCGGATACTTTTTAGGTGACCCAATATATTAATATGCATATTTATAAAGAAAATTTTTACTTACATTTTTGGATCTTTTGAAAAACAAAAAACTTTATTCCTGCATTTTGTCCAGATATGTTTTTACACATCACACAGGAAAATCCTTTACCCATTATTATAACTTCGAAATAGGGTATTAAAAAAGAAACGCACTAAGAATAATAATCTTCATTAACAATATTTTATTTATATAATATGTAACATCACAGAATTAATCATACAAAAATATAATCTCCAAACACACATTATTATTATCCTGATACCGCCATGTTTTCGATAGTATAGTTGACGCATGCGTCTTGAAACATTATACGAAAAATTTCGGGAACTGTTGTAATTGTACAATATATGGTTAAACTGTACCCCTGTACTGGCCGACGTCGCCGACGGCTGTATTGCCTCCGTATACTCTATGGGCGGACAGGGCCATTAATTAAAATGATTTTTTTCTGCCATATTTATTCATTTCGTGCAAAAACGTGTTGAATGAGTCTAATTTCATGAAATCCGGAACTGGTTGTGCTACTGAATAATTTTTTATGTGCATGTAAAAGTTTAAACTTTATCATCGATTACATTACATCAAAATGCCACTAATAATGATAACTGGCATACCATGCAGTGGCAAAACCACGAGGAGCCTCGAGCTCAAGAGTTACTTCGAGGAGAAGTTGAAGAATAGTGGGCAAAACGTGGAGATAATCAGCGAGAGCAACGCAATAATCCAAACGGGTTACAATAAAAATGTATATTTTGCGGGTAATTTGAAGAGTGAAATGAAGGATATTTGCATACAGGTTTTCATAGATGTAATTTTGATTGTTTCGATTTATACTGCTAATACCAGAGAAGTTAATATTAAAAATCTATCTAATAATATTATATATAATGTGAACTATAGATTTTCAGTATTAGCAACATATATGAACTATGAAAAAGAACTACAAAATGTGGACAATTACTCTGATGTTTGGTGTTGTTATGAAAAAGACTGGAATATCCATTCTCCAGTCTTTCTGATATTGGCATACGACCTTTATGTACATGGATATTTTGATAAATGTTCAGTATAGCACTTCTCCAATTTTCTCATAATTTTGTAAATCTGTGTGTTTTTATGCATAAAATATATTCTAATAAGGAAAATCGTCGTTCAAGTTTCGTTTTCTTATTTAATTTCAAAGTATTTTGATGTCAGTAAGTTTGAAAATGATAATTTAATGATAATTTACAACTGTACATGCTCATTAATGTTATTATTTATAAATTAAAAATGAATTAAAATATCTTTTTACTCTAATGTCATCATTTATGAATTAATAATGTCAGTTTAGTTATAAATTAAGTGTAAAATGTGATATTCCAACAACTTAATAATAAAAAGCAATTTAATTATATAAGGAAATTATAATTTAAATTTAAATCTAAGTTGTAATTTTATTATATAATTCTCTGCTATAATTTTACCATATAATTCAAAATGTAGCAAAGAATAGTTCGTGATTCAAAATATATATCTGCATACTCTCTGTTTTAATCAAATACGAATTTTCTTATATAATAAAGTTGTTATTTTCTCATGTAATTAAACTGTAATTTTCTTATATAATTAATATGTTGTTTTCTTATTATTATTAAATTGTTCGACTGAATATTCAGTTCGATTTAATATATCATTTTATACTTAATTTATAAATGATATTTTTTAATTCATAGACAACATTAATAAGCATGGGTAGTCAAGTATTATTAAGTTATCATTTTTTCAACTTACTAACATAAAAAAAATACTTCGAAATCTAATAATAAGAAAACAAGATTTGAGCAACAATTTGCTTTCTTGGAATATACATATTCTATGCACAATATACAAATTTACAAAATTACAGGAAAATCAAAGGAGTAGGAGGAAGAAGGGAAGAAGGAATATGCTATACTTAACATTTACCGATATTTTACAATTTCAATGTGTGACAAATATTCAAATGTTACATCGTATCAATCTGTCTTGCATTTTCAGATTCGAAAAAGGAGAAAGCTATTAGGAGTTCAATCAAATCAGACATTCAACGTAAACTAGATTCAAATGACTTATTGATATTTGATGGCAGCAATTATATCAAGGGATATCGATATGAAATCTATTGCACGACCAAATTGTATGAAACCCCTCAGTGCACACTGTATTGTAACTTGCCAATCGAACAAGCTTTGCTATGGAACAATAAAAGACTTGATTCAGATCAATACGACAGGGAAATTTTTGATTCACTTATAACCAGGTGATGATGTAATGATAATTATAATAACAAGAAACTAGTTTAAATTTCTAATATCCAAACATTGAATACAACAGATACGAAATACCAGAGACTACAAACCGATGGGATTGTCCACTTTTCACAATCATGCCCGGAGACATTCTAATGTGTGACGAGATTTATTGCTATCTCTACAAAGGAAAATTACCAAAACCAAATTTGAGTACCCAAATTGTTGGAATCTTTTTCTCATCTTCCTTTTTTATAATATTTCAATACTCACCAATACTCACAGATATTTACTCTTTCAGTCACCATTAGCCTCCACAAATTACCTATACGAATTGGATAATATAACGAAAGATGCGACAAACGTAAGTTTTGTGTGTGTGTGTGTGTGTGTGTGTGTGTGTGTGCGTGCGTGCATGCGTGTGTGTGTGTGTGTGTGTGCGTGCGTGCGTGCGCGCATGTTTGCGCATGCACATGCGTGCGTATGCATATGTATAATTAGGAATGCATCGGATATGTACCTTTGTCGGATAATATCGAATAGTCGAATATTGTCTTTTATAACTTTATCCAGACAGATAATAGGGGATATTATTTTAACACCATTGTTTACTGAAAACTCCATTATTGTTGCGCGTGCACAAAAAAAAGCCATGTTCAGCAACACTGAACACTAATTATATCCAAAAATATTAATTTTTATAATGAAAAATTTAAATTTTTAAAAATTAAATTTTTATTTTTAATAATTGTTTAGCAATAGTTACCAAGAAAATTGATAAAAATATTGTTTCTATCAAAGTAAATAACCCTTATAATACAAGATACAAGATGCGTTCTGATGTTCACTGCCAGTGCTGAAACTATATAGTATGTATTATACAGGGTTGGCCATATTCAACGGAAAGATGTTTTTTTTTTCAATCATGGGAAACGTCGTTACTCGATCTAACATCTCTGTCAAAAGTTACAGTGTTGCCCAGATCTTTCCGTCGAATATGGCCAACCCTGTATTATGTTTGCTGTAGATTTTCAGTACTAACAGTGAATATCGGAACGCATACATAATTTGATGCCTCATCCATCCAAACATTGGTCATTAGAATCCATCCATTTTTTTCATTTATTTAGAATTCAAAAAATCTCTAAAAATTTACCAACATATTTTCAACTTTCTAGGATATTAAAATTTCATTTTGGAAAATAAAATATAGTATAATTTATAATTATCAAAAGACACAAAGAAACTTGCATGAATAGGAATCACTCAATCACTACGCCGTTAAAAATTTCATGAAATTTAATATACTTTTAAGTTACATAATTTGAATTTAATTTCATGACATGCGTGCGTGACATATCAAATTTAATGTATTTTTCATGAAAATTTATAAAATTTTAATTACACGTTCCTTATATTTAACTAATTATTGTAACTTAATTTTCAATTAAATTATTCATTTCTTTTAATTTTGTTCATAACAAGCCATTTACGTAAAAGAAGCATTTCTGTTCTTTAGCTAGAGTATTCAGTATCTGGCCGCGATAATATGCGTTTATCCGATATCCAGGTATCCAGTAAAATCACTATCTGGGAGTATCTTGAAATGTAATGAAAATTACAAAAGTGAACAGATTTACTCGAATATTCATAATTTAATTAATAACTAATGAATTTGTTCACTTTTGTAACTTTTATTTCATTTCAAAATACACAATCGACCTCTTAGCTTTTTATTATGGTGGAATAAAAAAAAGTGAACTTAGTATCTCTAAACGATGCATTCGAGGAGTAGGATAATCCATAGAACTTATAGTAACTGGAAGTGGAATAACCTATCCAAGCAGTCACATAGTATAAGTACATACAGTATGGACACTAAACTTTTTATGTGATCCCCAATTTTTAGTACGCATGCGTCGATTTCCAACCACGAATGTGGCTGCCTTCAGCAAATTGAAATTGCAGGTTAGATTAGGTCAGCTGGATCTCCTTCCCATAAAATATAATTAAATCTTTCCCCTACAATATTGTGTACGCGTGCGTGCGTGCGTGCGTGCGTGCGTGCGTGCGTGCGTGCGTGCGTGCGTGCGTGCGTGCGTGCGTGCGTGCGTGCGTGCGTGCGTGCGTGCGTGCGTGCGTGCGTGCGTGCGTGCGTGCGTGCGTGCGTGCGTGCGTGCGTGCGTGCGTGCGTGCGTGCGTGCGTGCGTGCGTGCGTGCGTGCGTGCGTGCGTGCGTGCGTGCGTGCGTGCGTGCGTGCGTGCGTGCGTGCGTGCGTGCGTGCGTGCGTGCGTGCGTGCGTGCGTGCGTGCGTTTTCATGACACGAATTTATCCTACCCACAACATGGCAGCAAGTCATGTGACTTGGGACCCACTACATCAAAGTGCCGACGCTCAGTATCCATACTATATAAAAAAATAGAATGAAAAAACGGGCAATTAAGAGCATTAATCCGCGGTAATGGTTGCGAATATCATAAATATATCCATTATAAAAGTAATGCGCATTTTCTGGGAAAAATAGATTTATTGATCGTAGCGGTACAAATGCTCAAAATTCTTCAAAATACTCTCCCCCTGAATCAATACACTTGCGGAGACGTGCCTGGCACGCCTGAAAGGCACGCTGAAACTTATCGACGGGAATGTCGGGAATGTCTCTTAGGAACGTTGTAACATGCTTTTGGATGTTTTCCACGGACTCCCAATGCTTTCCTTTCAGCTCTCTCTTCAGACGGGGAAACAAAAAAAAGTTGCACGGAGCCAAGTCGGGACTGTAAGGGGACTGGGGGACCACCGGGGTGTTACTCCGGGCCAGGTAATTGGCAACGATGAAGGCCGTGTGGCTGGAGGCATTGTCATGGTGGAGCTTGATCCCATGTACCGCAAATGTGGACATGTTTAGGGTGTCAGCGATGCTCAATCGACGGTCGGAACGCAGAACTTCGCACACACGATTCACGTTTTCGTCGGTTCTGGCCGTTGTTGGGCGTCCAGAACGGGGTTCGTCGGCGACCTCCTCCCGACCCTCCTTGAACGCCTTGTGCCACCTCCCGGACTGTGACCTTGAAATGCAGTCGTCCTTGAAGGCCTCTTGAAGCATCTGGAATGTTTCGGTTGCATTCTTTCCAAGTCGCACGCAAAACTTGATGGCGTATCGCTGTTCAAGCGAACGCTCCATCGCGCCGTGTTACAAAGTCAAGAAAAACACACTTCACGCGGAGGCACGTCTTTCCACTCAGACTGCTCGGAGCAGACTGGCGACCGGCTGCCTTGGAAGGGCATATCCCGCACCACATTTCCCGACCCATTTTATCCTGCTGCGATGGATATTCGCGTCACAATAAAATCATGCGCATTACTTTCATAATGGACCCTGTACATATATTTAAATCATACCTACTGATCTATTACATACAGTACCAAACTGAACGTTTCGACTGTATTCAAGCCATCTTCAACAGTCCCCAATCATAGTAATAATTGTTCACAATCTAATGTTCGTAACGTAGTAGAAATCGAGTGCAGCAAGTAAATCTCAACAGATTCCCATGTCTGAAGGGTATGTAACCGTTAGTTAGCTGATTAGCTAAGTGCGAGCTAAATCAGAAATAATCATTAAAAAGAAGTTACTAAAAAAAGAAGGATAACCAAACTTTAAGGAGGTTTCCTTACTGCACATCATAACTGCACAATATAAATTAAATAAGTTGAAATCACGAAAACAGATAAAATTAAATTAAATTTCTTTAAAGAAACACAACGTTCGTAGTGTCAAAGCAGAGTAGTGTCAACTAATGTAAGAGAACATTCAGAAATAAATATTCTAAGAGAATAAACTACAACATTATCAAAAGTCATCGGATTGAAAAACAATATAGATAGCCGCTTAAGTGTAGATACACTAATAAAAAAAATTATTAAAATTATTAATTATGTTCGTGTAAGCATGGTGTAAGAACGTGTCTAATTTCAAATTTAAGCCATTTTCCTGCATCTTAATATATTAAGCATTTCAGACACTAACCTTTTCCCAATATATCTCTCATTATCCAAAATTTTGATGTTAATTCAATCAAAATCACGTTCAAATTGCAATCTATGTTCAGAAATAGTAGAAGTTACCGCTCTTTTTATTAATGTCATTTTTATATTCGTTAATTCTAGTTTTCAATTTACGGCTCGTCTGTCCAATATAAGAGGCATTGTAATTAATTATTATATCAGAGGCATTTGCAATTAATCTTGTAAACTATATCTTTCTTTGAATCATGAGAAAGAACGTCTTTTTATGCTTTAATAATTCCGTCAAGTTTGTTCAAACTGAAGAAAGACAATTTAACATTATGATTTTTGATAATGCTCTTGAATTTGTCATAAATACAAGGCAAAAAAGGAATGGTAAACCACGAAGTTATTTTATTATCAATGTTAGTTTTATTTGTTTATTTAAGCGTCTTACGTTTTAAAAGAAATCTTAATCGTAAATTGATCGTTTCAAAAATAAAATTAATACAATAATCATTTTCCAAAAATGTCTTATCTAATATTACAATTGAAATTATCCCTATGATATTTTGGATGAAATAGTAAAAAAGTTCTGTCCACCATGCTTATAAGAAACATCTCTTTTATGAAAGAGGATGAAGAGACAAAAAACTGAGATATCTTCCCGAAAAAGTTAATTTATGATAAATATTAAATTCTAATTCCGTTCGCCTTAATATTTATCATAAATTAACTTGGACAGAACTTTTTTTCAGTTTGAACAAACTTGACGGAATTACAATATTAAAGCACGAAAAGACGTTCTTTCTCATGATTCAAAGAAAAATATAGTTTACAAGATTAATTGCAAAAATTGCAATACTTCTTATATTGGACAGACGAGCCGTAAATTGAAAACTAGAATTAACGAACATAAAAATGACATTAATAAAAAGAGCCGTAACTTGTCTGTTATTTCTGAACATAGATTGCAATTTGAACATGATTTTGATTGGACTAACATCAAAATTTTGGATAATGAGAGATATATTGGGAAAAGGTTAGTGTCTGAAATGCTTAATATATTAAGATGCAGGAAAATGACCTAAATTTGAAATCAGACACGGAGTTCTTACATCATACTTACACGAACACAATTAATAAATTTTAATAATTTTTTTGATTGATGTATTTATACTTAAGCGGCTATCTATATTGTTTTTCAATCCGATGACTTTTGATAATGTTGTAGTTTACTCTCTTAGAATATTTATTTCTGAATGTTCTCTTACATTAGTTAACTCTGCTTTGACACTACGACGTTATGTTTCTTTTAAGAAATTTAATTTAATTTTATCTGTTTTCGTGATTTCAACTTATTTAATTTATATTGTGCAGTTATGGTGTGCAGTAAGGAAATCTCCTTAAAGTTTTGTTATCCTTTTTTTTTTTTAGTAACTGTTCTCTTTAATAATTATTTCTGATTTAACTCGCACTTAGCTAATCAGCTAACGGTTACATACACTCTAGACATGGGAATTTATTGAGATTTACTTGCTGCACTCGATTTCTACTACGTTACGAACATTAGATTGTGAACAATTATTACTATAATTGGGGACTGCTAGAGATGGCTTGAATACAGCCGAAACGTTCAGTTTGGTATTGTATGTAATAGATCAATAGATACGATCGAAATATATGTATTTATGATATTCACACCAATTACCGCGTATTAATGCTCTTAATTGCCCGTTTTTCATTCTATTTTTTTTTGTATTTTCAAGAACCAATTTGAATTAGTTCCATACTGTATGTTCGCAAAGATTTGCACATTTCGGGCCGATTTTGACGTACTTTCCCCACTACCGCTCAAGGCTCAGCGGCCGAGCCGCCGGGCGCTCACGTGACGCTCTAGTTCAGGAGCGTCTCTGTAGCTTAAACGTACGTTTAAGGTACGGAGATCGTACCTTATGTTATTAAAGAATATTTTTCTTGCAAAATTTTTATTTCCTTAAAAATATCAAATACTAAATTTTCTAAAACATTTTGTCATAATAATTCTTGTCTACTAGAAACTATTCAATAATTTTAATTAAAATGATAATATTCGCTTATAGAAAATAGTTAGTGCAATATAGAATCCTTGTTACTTGAGACTTCATAAAATTTCGTATGGAAAACACGGAATTTCCAGATTCACGTATTTCCTGACTTCAATCTTCGTAAGTCTGTTGTAGAAACTTCTCGATGTAAATTTATAACAATTATTGAATTAGTTTGAAAATGTTTTAGAAAATTTAATATTTGATTTTTTTTTAATAAATAAAAATTATTTTGCAAGAAAAATATTCTTTAATAAAGTAAAGTATGCACGTTTAAGCTCCTGAGCCAGAGCGTCACGTGAGCGTCCGGCGACTCGGCCGTCGAGCCTCGAGCGGTAGTGGAGGTAGCGCGCCGGAATCGGCCCGAAATGTGCAAATCTTTGCGAGCACTGCTGTATGTACTTATACTGTGGCAGTGAGTGAAAGGTGTGAGCAACATCTGAGAGACAGAAGATGTATTTCTGTCCTGCTCAATAACTTTTCTTCTTTCTGTGCATGTGCCAAAAGAGGATAAAAAGATATTTCTGTTCTTTAGATGTTGCTCATAGTTCGACATCTGTATTTCCCTTCCAGTTACTATAAGTTAAATGAGGTAGTCCTCATTTATAAAAGGATGCATTTGTTTGACCTTCTCTCTCGTTTCGCGCATGCGTCTACTCTGGAAGAGATGATCGAAAGCGGCAACGAAGAATTGAAATATTGGGTCATCTAAAAAGTATCCGCGGTTTTTTGTCACTAGATGGTGTTGATGGTCAATACATCTAGTGACAAAAAACCGCGGATACTTTTTAGATGACCCAATAGTACGAAGTACGACGCATGATGGATAATAAAAAGAGTGATTGTTTAGTGCCATTTACTAGAAAGAAAAGGCAAGGAGATAAAGGTATATATTCTTGTTATATTCCTCGTTGATTCTTTCGATCTCTTTTCTCAGAGTAGCGACGTATGCGCGAAATGAGAGAGAATGTTACAGGCCAAATTAAAGACCTTCTAATCAGAGTGGCAACACAAGACAATTTGAGGTTTTGAGTCGACTTTTGTATGCAGGTAGTTTTTAGAGAGCCAAAGGAGCTCCGTACAACACCAGAAACTGTGTATTCCACAATACATGATTTCTAATAGGTTGATATTCTTATTCTCTGTTCTCTGTTCCTTTTATTGTGCGGAGCCTCTCACAGGAAGAGTGGCAATTGCATCGTGATCCGGTCTCCTCTGATTAGACATGGGCATCAAAGCTCCATAGAGCCATGGTGGGGGTATGCCGTTTAGGTTAGATGACTGCAAAAGTCGCAGTACGCTTGTGCTTTCAATTTCTTCTTCAATTTTACAATTGATAAGGTCTTTGTAAGTGATACATATTATTAATATTGGAAATATATACCTTCCTCTATTGCATATACATGAAATAAAACTATGAATTTTTACATTTCAGATATCTGAACAGGATTTGTGCATATTATGAAATGCCTCGTCAGATGCAGAGCTCCAAGATACACAAATTCTAATAAAGAAGGATATTGCTGCAACATTTATCCAAAATTTTAAATTGAAACAAAAATGGAATGATACTGCCAGAATTTCTGATTGGAAACCTTCAAAATCAGCTGTACTGTGTGAGGTCAATACTAAAGCGTGCATACAAATGTTTAATATAACTCCCGTAAATAATCAACAAAAATAACATCAATATTATAATTTCTCACTCAATATCAATATATTAAATGAGAAATTATAATAATGGTGTTATTTTTGTTGATGTTTACTGGAGTTGTATTATAAAACATTTGTATGCACACTTCGATACTGACTTCACACAGTATAATTGATTTTGGAAGTTATCAATTAGAAATTTCCGACAGCGTTAATCCATTTGTCTCAACTTTTTGTCTCGGATCTTGGGCAAATATCATGCAGCAATATCCTTTTTTATTTGAGTTGTGCATCTGGAAGCATTACACCTGGTAGGCATTTTGTAATATGCACAAATCCTGGAAATAATCGCCAAATATTTCATGGGCAGGTAGACTGGATTAAACTGAATCAAAAAGTCCTCTACCATTTTGTAAGTTTCCCTAATAGTTAACGAGATATTAATCCTTAAAGATAGCCGAATACGCGCGCCGTTCGGCCTATTACTGCGAAGTGTATACGCGCCCCGCGCCGCGCAAACCGCCGCGAGCCTCCATAGCTCGGACGACAGGCAGCTTGCCAGGCTAAACTCCCCACTCCCAATTATCCGCGCGCCAAGCGATTTCCAGATACCTTGTATATACAATAGAGGAAGATATATACTTCCAAGATTAATAATATGTATCATTTACAAAGACCTTATCAATTGTAAAATTAAAGAGGAAATGCAGCACAAGGTGACAAACGTACTGGGACTTTTGCAGTCATCTAACCTAAACGGCATACCCCCACCATGGCTTTGATGCTCATGTCCAATCAGAGGAAATCGGGTCACGATTAATACAATTTGCCACTCTCTTCCTATGAGGATCTCTAATAGTCTTAACAAAATCGATAACAGAGAGAAATATATTAGTATCTCTGTCTAACCTTAACGCGGCGTTAAGTTATCAATTGATTGTTACATTGGAACTGATCAATTGCATTTGCTGTTCAGCAGAATTGACCAATGATTGACACTTAATTGACCGATTAGATTAATCGAAGTTGGTGAGACCAACTCTATGTTTATGGGAATAACTCACCTTTCTTATTCCATTATAGCTCTAGTAATAATCATGATGTAAGAAGTAAAGTATACTATTCCCACGGATGCAATGGGTTGAAAGTAGTGGGGAGATCTGTCAACCAATCAATTTTTGAATTCATTTGCAGAAATTCACATGATTCGTTCTACAAATAAGTACACTTTTGCAAATCAGTACAATTTTGATTGATCGAACTCCGGCATTATGCGCAATGATTCACTTATATAATTAATTCCATGGCAATAATTATTTGTAATATTCCTATATTGCTAACGCAGCCTCTTTTTAGGAATGGGAGTGTACGAAGACAGCGAGATAGAGAATATCGGATCTCTCACTTCCACAGTGTACCTCGAATGTGCGCATGCGCTGGCATAAGTAACAAAGTCGCATTTTTGTTTCTTTTTTTTAAACACTTTTATATAAACAATAATGTTGGACACGCGTATAATCATACCGTTATTGAGATCCGATAACTTCGATCTGGCGCAACTCGCTGACTCGCGTAAAGGAGGCACGTCCATGTTTCGCGTCATGCTTAACGCCGAGACACTACCACTCCAGATATGTAATATGCATACGTAATAAATACGAACGCGGACCAGTACAGATGTATGTACATTATAAAATTGGTTAGAAACGCGCGCATGCGTACTATTTAAGTGAAGCGGGTACACTATCTAAGTGAGAGGTAGATATTATCTGCGTGATGTTTTCGCTTTTAATTGGCGTTGTTAGCAATATAGTAGTATTACATATTTGATAATAATTCGCAAGTGTACTACTACACATTCATGGAGCAAGTGATTAAGTGTTAAATACTAAAATTCAGATGTAATAACTGTGTTTTTGTTTTTCCTTCATTTAGGACCGATTGTTCCATCTTTTGATAAATTTTACCTGTTGGGTAAATAACAAGATTACCCAGTCACATGCATGGATTGCCAGATTTACCTAACAAGTAAAATTTACCAAAAATGGAACAATCGGGTCTTAAATGCTTTTTTTTTTACTGTACAATATATCGCTTCCTTACTTCAAAAGTGATCCAACTTTGAAAAGAAGCAAAATTTTCGATTATTATATTGAACGAATTAAAAATTATTTTATTGATCATCATTATCAATGAATTTTTATATAACAAAAACGTAACAATTAAATAAGGGTTTTTTTAAGGATTATGAAACGAAAATAACAGAAAAATTCTTGGTTATGTTAAAAGTCTATTTATTTGACCAATATTCAATTTGATTAATCAATAACTTTCTGTTATGCTTAAAAATAATTTTTCTCCTTTTCTGGAAAACTCAATTTTTGTTATTGTCACTTTTGAAGTAAAAAAAGTTATATAATATAATGTATGCAGTCTGTAAAGCTGTACACAATGCTCTATCAAACGTCGTGGTTTATATATGAATGTTAACAAGAAATATTTTTTTTTAAAGGTGATACTGTCAATGCAACAACTGGGAATAAACTACGATATAAAAATACCAGGTTCTAGTGTGAATTTAAAACGCACAACCGTACCATCGAAACTTGCAATATTAAGAAGACAATTTATAACTTTTAGTAAAATGCAACAAAATGAAGTTGATCAAATTACCACGTTATTTGTACAATATCTCAATAACAATATACGGTAAAAGTGAATTTACATATCTTTTTTGTTTTTTAATTTTAATATGACTTTACATGTGTGTGTGCGCGCGCGCGCGCGTGTGTGTGTGCGCGTGTGTATGTGTACACGAAGGTCGTTCGATAAAGTCTGATAAATCTTTATAAAATGATAACAATCCATTTGATGACATGACACCTGAAAATTATCTCTCCTCTTTAAACCCTTCCACATGTCAGTTAGAATTGATGCGTTGTTGATGCGTTCGATAGTCATTTAAAGCGATTGACAAATTTAGCAATTGCAGCGTACAAAAATGAAAAAAAAAATGAATTCTGTGCAAAATTACAGAATTTGATTTCGAATTGATTCCTCATTCACTTTATTCCTCATCCATTTAATTTTGCATGAAATTCGTTTCCTTTTTTATTTTTACACGCGGCAACTATTTAATTTCTCGCTCGCTTTAAACAATTACCAAATGTGAACAACGCATCAATTTTGGTTGAAATTTGACTTGGAAGAGTTTGAAGAATGATACTTTTCATTCATGTTAAAAAGAGTTACTCATAAAGATTTATCAGACTTATGGAATGATCCACGTATATACAGAGTGTCTCTAAATTCCTGCATATGGAGTACAAGATGTGATATTTTAAAACAAACAACTTTTTCTTTTTGCAAAATTATGTCTGACAAGTTTTGCAGAAGAGCAGGTTAAAGTTATACGAGTAAACGCAAAAATTATTTATCTAATGTAATTTTACTATAGGAAAAAGTTGTTCGTTTTAACACAAAAAACAACTTTTTCCTGTAGTAAAATTGCGTCCGATAAGTAGTTTTTGCAGAAGAGTAGATTGAAGTTAAAAAATAAGAGCAAAAATTATTTATCGGACGGCAATTTTACTAAAGAAAAGTTATTTGTTTCAGTATAAAGTACTGCAGGAATTTAGAGACACTCCGTACACACAGGATGTTTAGCGTGACGATTCGCACAATTTTTCAGGTACTTCCGACAATTAGAAAAAAGTTAAAAGGTGAATATTCATTGTTTTATACAGATTACAACATGTAATAACAAATTTAAAAAACATTTTCTTTATAAAAAAATCAAAGTCATCTTAAATTTTTTAAATAACACCATACAATTTTGTTCATAATATTGTAGGGGTCTTAAAAACAAATTCAAACTACTGAAATGTTACTTTTATTGATATTTTATTGATTTTATTGATATTCAATAAATTTGCAACATTATTTTTAACAGCAGTACTTTCAACTTCTGACTAGACATAGAACATAAACATATATATAGTATATATATATATTAGGTGTTGGAATTAATTCGTAGCGTTTTTAATGAAAGAATGTTATTTATTTCACATGAGCATTAAAAAATACATTAATGAAAGTACTTCCCATCACTTGTAAAACGCGACGAATTAATTCCAACACCTAATATATATATATACATACATGTATTTATTTAATAAAATATGCAATAAAATCAATAAAAGTGACATTTTGATAGTGATTTGAATTCTTGAAGACCCTTACAATATTATGAGAAAAAATTGTATGGCGCTATTTAGAACATTTAAGGTGATCCTAAAACCTGTTTTACCACGTAAACACGTATAATTTTTGTATAAGAAATATTTTTTTTCTATTTCACCGATTCGAAAATCCTTTTCCAGGATTAAAGTGTACACATTAATATGTGTCTGGATAGTGGAGTGCCGAGAACGATCCAAAATTTCGAAATTGATATATTTTTTATCATTTCTTAGTGTAACATGGCGTCTCAACTGTCAAGTCGTGACATTTGCTTGATATGAAAGCTTTGCAACCTGTACGTACGAAATAGTGATACCCAAACAAGTAGTTATTTTACACGAACAAACGAGTCGAGTTCTTAGAATTAGACTTAGACGCTTTATCGCAATGAATTTCTTATACGAAAATTGACATGTGTATCATAGGTTGTGTGACTGCGTATATCATAGGTTGTGAGATATTGCTGTGGTAGTATAAAGACATGTCGGTGTGCTGTAGGGAACTACGTTCTCAATACCTCACTAGCGCAGCGAGTGTAAAAAGCCTAAGGATTTTGTAGGTTGCGAGTTGCCTACAAGCAGCGTCAGAGAAAAATAAGAAGTCAGAGAGATTATGGCGCTCATTCTGTACGGTATTCATACATATTCCAGTAATAAAATTCATCGTTATTAGTTACAAGAAAAGTGATCGATCATTATACTTTACATCACGTCATACGACAAGAGTGGGCTTGTCTTGAGAATTTGACTCGTCAATTGAGTCACCTATTCCCACAGTGCGGCGCGCGGCGCGACCTCTGGTGATTTCGTTGGAGTTCGAGGTTTGCTTTAGAATCTTCTTAAGACGAGTTTGATTTTTTATGAAAAAATGTTTTTTAAATTTTTCATCGCATGTTATAGTCTGTATAAAACAAATAAATATTCATCTTTCAACTTTTTTTTAACTGTCGGAAGTATCTGAAAAATCGTATGGATCGTTACATTGAATATCCTGTGTGTGTGTGTGTGTGTGTGTGTGTGTGTGTGTGTGTGTGTGTGTGTGCGCGCGCGCGTGTATATATATATATATACACATAATCTTATTATCACGCAATAACATCGCATAATTGTACAATAATGAAAATCATTGATTTGTAAATATTTATAAAACCTTTGTCAAAACATATGTTTTGACTTCAATCAAATTACTCATGATACAATAAACAAGAAATGTAATTAGATTAGATATTGTCTGCAATTATGGTACACTGATTAATTTAAAAAAATAGTTCTATTATTTTCAAGGCATTATTGACGTTACGAAAACAATCTCATAGCGCCATTGAAAACTTTTTTATATGAAATGAGTCTTTATATTAGAATAGAATGAGACAGATAAAGATATAAAAAAAAAATATAAGTCTTAAACACAAACGCATAGAACTAGTTCTCACATGTGAAACACGGCTGCACTTAAACAATAACATCTCAGCGTTCTACACTTTTTCAAGAAGAAAAAGCGCTGTAATCAATTCTCTTGTTCTTGCGCACTGTTAGTTTCATCTCCATTCTGATTGTGATTTACACCGTCCACATGTCCATTTGGTTTTCGACAAACAAAGTACACGCTATTATATTCGCACTGTAACATACTATTAATATTCTGGGCATAACGCGTTTTCACTTTTGTCTCTTCTTTCTAAAAAAAAAAAAATAGACTATACATCCGTGAATGTTTTAGGAATATCGTACGTAAAAATAAAGTTTATTACCTCCAATTGAAAGCCAAAGCCTAGAATAACATCACGGATAGCGTCGTAACTTGGCTCGATTGAGTCTTCGTTCGGTAAATCGCTGAAATGATAAAGCAACGGTCCGAGATTTATCCAGACGCCACCTGGTTTCAAGATCTTATAAATTGTCTCGATAAATTGTACAACGTTATTGGCACAGTCTATGAAGAAACATGTCGCGATGCAATCCCAATGACTGCTCTCCGTATAAACCTGAAATAAATCATGTTAACTGAACAGATAATATTATGATTACTTACAGTTAATGCAAAAAGTATTTGTAGAGGAGAAATTAAAATTTTATTTTCAGAAAGTAAACATTAACTAGCGATTTACTAACAAAGAATAAAATAAATTGTACATTTTTCAAAATTATTTTGTCTGTAAAACGATGTAATAATTAAAATATATTATCTTAATAATAAGCGAAAATGAAAATTTGTAGTATTGCACACACAAAAAGTATTCGTACTCTTTTATTTATACTAGAACAGAACATTATAAATAAATAATTAATATTTACTTTCTAAAAGTAAGGTTTTTAAAAAATATTTTCTGTGTACAAATACTTTGTACTCATTCTGCACGTTACATATTCTTGTTTTAAAAATCACCTCTAAAAAATCACCCGCGGTCATAGAGAATTGCGCATTTCCTGGAAGATCGCTCGGACTTACGTCGGGGAAAGAAACCGCTTGCGTCTGGTGCTCAGGTTTCAAGTTATTCATATATTGATGCACCCATGGATGTACTTGATACAAATTTATATCTCTACATCTATTACAAAAGGAAAAATTGTGACAAAAGATGCGAAGATGATTATTTGCGTTACTATTACTTACTTGTTTAATACAAAGTTCGATGCAAACAGCATGAATAGGGAAAATTCATTTCCTTGGCAGGTATATCCACGCTTCGCAATTTCAAAAGCAAGACGGCCTAATCCTGCACCAGGTACTAAAATATGCACGTCCGATGGTTTACTGGAAATTCAACTATCATTTGATATTTCTTTCAGTCATGTCTCGGTGTGATTTACAAAAGAAACTTTTGAAATATATTTTCAGCTGTAATTTTATCAAAGGTTCATCCTATATATTAATTTAGTGTATCCTTTGATGAAAAAGCAGCTTAAGGTCTTATAAGCTTTAAGAGATTTTACAAGTTTCTCTTGATTTTGTTTTTTTTTTGTTTTGTGTTCCTTGATATATTACAATAATTGCTGTACAATAATTATGAATTATCATACCAATTCTCCAATGGAAATTGATATAATATTTCGTCTACAATTAGCTGATAACACGCTTTTCGTTCCTCAGCACCTTCCACACTCCAGTCCCGTACCAATTGCTTAATGGTAGCTTGCACTTTCTCTTGATCCGACATTACAGGCCTTAGGTTTAACGTCTGTAATGAAATTCATCTATTTTACATAATAGAACAATATCATAGAGATAGCACAGTTTAAGCAGAGTTGAATAAGTTAACTTTTTTTTCAAATTAAATTTAGTTAAAATTAATAGTCTTGAAAATTTAATTTATTTAAATACAAGTTCAATATGAACTTGTATTTAAATAGTCCATAATGAAATTAATTGAAGTAGAAGTTATATTAATAAAGAAAGTAATTGAAAAATTAACAGTTAAATTTGGTCTGAATGAACAATTAAAGAAAAAAAGAAAGAAAAAAAATTTAACCATATTTTTCATAATTTTTTATATTTTTCCTTTCTCATAGCATATCCATTAATGAACTGGTTAGTTTTGTTTACAACTAATGATTAAACAATATAAAAGATATAAAATTTTTAAATTATATACTCATTATTCCCTCATATTGGATCTGAAGATTGACTTCCAAAAAGTCAAATTAAAAGTTAATAATTATCGATAAAAATAACCTTTTAATTTAACTTTTTAACTTAGCACTTAGCATTCCTAGGTTGAAGTAATTAAAATTAAATTTAACCAAAGTATATCCCATGTAACATACATCTTCAAGGAACATCTAGAGAATGTCCTATGTCCTAAGGACATCTCTCAGATGTCTTTAAAATATGTTGTATGGATAAAAATATCAAAATATATAAAAATTTCAAAACATATTAATATTATATTGTATAAAAAAACTTTACTAAACTAATTAAACTCTACTTATGTGCGATAAATAAAACGTTAGGTAAATGTCTCTTACATTGTCAACTTGAGCAGTAGTTGGACATACGTTTTCAAATATATGGGCTACATCTTTTATTATGAGTTTTATGATCTGGTCATTGTTCTCGATACATCGTTTAACCTCTTGTAAATGTTCCTTGTACTTTGACAAAAGCTTCTGATGATGTTGTGGTAGACTAAGAAAATAAGACTCTGTTTTTCTTACTCTTAGCAAGGAGTGTGTCCTGCGCAAAAAAAATAGAAGAAATTAAACAAACGGAAGAATTCCTGTATGCATCGAGTCGCCAATGTTATTTACATATTATGATAAAAAAAATATCACAGGAGTGACCTCTGAATAGTAATCGCTTATCAATCGAATATTCGCAATGAACAATAATTAATGCGACGTGTCTCTCCAGTGACTCTTGAGCAATAATAAAAAGGAAAACGATTGGAATTCAAGACCACAGTTGTTGTCGTACCGGTTCTCGCCGTCGACATCAAGGAATAAAAAGGAATAAAAAGGAACGAAAGAAAATGGGGAGAGAAGTGAACGTCAAAAAAGACCCGCGGCACTCACTTGTAATATCTGAATGCGGAGACGATTCTCTGAAAGTGCTTTCGCTCCTCTTCATCCTCGTAACTATTGTGCATTCTTCTCGGATGCGAACTCGCAGTCGTATCCATCGCTTCCATCTTTAATATACGACTTTCCGCGGGCCGCGGGGGTCTTATTTAACGAATACTAGCTCTCACTCCGCGTGTCGGAGAGCGTTTGGGTTAGAATTGAAGAGTTTACAGTTCTTTCGTACGGCACCGGCGGTAGCCGCTCCCCGTCCGCACCTTCTGTACCCGAAGCAACGAGAGAGGTGTATGTATACACGAGCACTAGTAAGGAAGGGAGATGTGAAAGGTGACGCGGAAGGTGCAGCTGATGGAGATGGTAACATCGATATTCCCTTTTCTGTATTTTTCGTGGTTATAATGAAATAAACGTTAATCGAAGGAGAGAAAGGTTATGGAGGGTATGGAACACTTGTCTAAAATGAACGAATCTCGGGAGAACACGATAGGTTCTCGTTGTTTTATTGACTTTAAATTCTTCAATTTCAAATTATCATAAGTTTCCCCTACTTCAAGCCAACTCAGCTGGTCTAGAGTCCAATATTTATAAGAGAAGCGCTGATGTTAAGTGTCCTGATTGGTCATGCAATCACGTGATTAGCAGCCAATCATGAACTTATTTCTTATATTGTATATTTTGTATATTTTAAATGACTGCTGAATGAATGATTGATGAATATCATAGACCTAGTATTTCTAGACTTCGCATTCGAGGAGTAGAGCTAGTCCTCATTTTAGGCTACGTTTCAAAACTTCCTCTCCGAGGAAAATTTTCTCAAAATATATAGTATATGTAACATATACTATAGCATATAGAGTAAAATCTTCCTCGGAGAGGAATTCCTTTGGAACGTAGCCGTAGAAAAAGTTCGTTCATTGACAAAAGTTTGAGTTCATGTCGTTCATCGACATATAGGTCTAGTTTACATTATGCATTTGATATGAATACTAACTAATAACTTTCTATTGAATGATCGATATGTTGAAACATATATTGGGTCATCTAAAAAGTATCCGCGGTTTTTTGTCACTAGATGTGTGTTGATGGTTATATATCTAGTGACAAAGTACCGCGGATACTTTTTAGATGACCCAATATTTAATTAATCATTATGATACATATTGTACATATATGTGCGGGACTGCACCGCGCGTAAAGATTAAAGTCGAGAGGACGACACACGGCTGATATGAAAGTGAAAAGAACTCCGTTTCTTTGTAGTTTGACTAAAGATTTACTTCAATTTTTACAACCACAAATTCAGTACAAATAAATGATTATCACAAAATATTCGATATAATCATCTTTTCCGAATTATTTTATTCAGTAGTAATAGAAAATCGGCGATTTTCTCGAAGGAATCTTCTTTACAGCGGTTTTACGTGGCGGTTTTTCACGGCGGTTTTCTACACGATATAAGCGAGACTCTGGACACTAAGAGAGAGAAATCGGCGACGATCGGCGCATATATATTGCCTTCGTGGCCTGGGGTCTCTTCTTGATAAAATCCAATAGAATTTTGCCACAATTATAATTTTTGCGTGGCATTTATTGTATAAGATTGATTGGAGCCTCGGATTCTTTTTTAATGACTTTCGACGCAGTCATGCGCGACAGAAAATCCGCGCGTGGGATTGGTGACGCCGCGCGTGACGTGTTCGTCGGAGCGCTGCGCTTGCGCGCGTGATTGAATTGTTCTCAACCTTCGATGGTCTGTTGCCGTTGCTCTGTGTGTGTGTGTGTGTGTGTGTGTGTAACGAATTAATTTGAAATGAAAAAAATGACAAATTGGTAGCTTTAACGAGAATTAAGATCGTACTAGAGATGAATTTACAGACTCATTTCATGCACACGTCCAACAACAATTAATGTTAATTAATTAAACGAAAGAATTATTACTTTTTTTACGAATTAACGATCTCAAACATACCACTTTAGTGCATCATTCTTTAAATACATTGCTGAAATTAAAATAATAAAAAATTAAAATAATAAATTAAAATAATTTAATAGAAAGTTACTATCAAGTTAGTTAGTATCAAAACAAGCATCGTGTGTCACGGCTTAAAGTAAATGTTTGGGCACTGAATTCTCTTTTTACGTCTCAGCGAGGCTCGGCCGGTTCGATTGAATCTGAAGCTATGATGTGAACGATTCCGCGTATCAAAGAGGATCGTAGCCGAATTTGTCCAAGTTATTGATTGATTAAAGGCGAGCGCTAGATATTCCGATTATAGTGGATTCCGAATCATTCCACGGTTGGAATCTCCCGTTCTCATTAAATAAGCGATGAATCTTTCTAATACTTCGGGACAATCGGGACAACTTGAGACAGCATGCCGAGTGACATATAATAGTTAATACAATATAATTAATAGAACATGCAATACTGTATTCGAAACGTTCAGGAAGCCCCAAATGAATATAATGCCGTAAGACCCCTTGGTAATTTCTCTTTTCGTTTTCCGACAGAAGTATTGTATTGTATAACATTTAGGACATTTGATGGTATCGCTTTTCCTATGCTGAAAAAATACCAAAGATACAACATGCACTACGTTACCACGTGGAGTACGAACTAACCGCCAAGATTCGAGTGTCGATGGGTGCACGCAGACGCGGATACATGTTAAAGGCAATTCATTGGTGGCAGATTCCAATTGCCGGAATGTGGAAAAAAGCTTTTTACCTTTTGGGGGAGGTGCCCCAAATCGAATATTCAGTCGAATATTCTCTGGTGTTCTTGAATGCCAGTGGAAAGAAGTAGTCAGGGTATCAAGGTTTCTACTACTCCTTAGGCAAATTTAGCTGCTAATTCGGGTCGCACCAATAGGCGAATTAGCTAAAAGAATGGAGATGTCCATGAAATATGCATACACATTCGAATGAGATTAATTGTATATTTAGTAATAATTCGTACATTAGTTAACGCCTTAATAACTAATTTTATACATGAGGACAGATTTAATTTCAAGTTAATTAAAAGTTACAATTTATGAGTTAGGACTTATGATTTAGAAATTGAATTAATGTTTTAGATTTAAAATTAGGATCGGAATTTTTAGATTTAGAAATTGAAATCCAAGAAAATCACGTTCAGATTTAGTATTACGTTTGCACGCGGCATTTAAAATCTAGAGCGGCTATTGGTCAGACAATGGAAGGATTGGTATTTCGCGCGTGGCGGTTCTGGACGAGGCGCACTACTACTCTGCCTCTTCTCTACATTTGTCCATAGGCGTTCCTAAACACTCCTTTCCATTGACCGTCCCGTCAACAATGAGTGTTAGGGAGACACATCAGGTGCGTCTGTAGGGACTTGGCGCCCGCATATATTGGGTCATCTAAAAAGTATCCGCGGTTTTTTGTCATTAGATGATGTTGATGGTCAACACATCTAGTGACAAAAAACCGCGGATACTTTTTAGATGACCCAATATTACTCAGGCCTGTTAGCAAGTCTGATCAAAAATAATTATTGGACAAGAAAAATGAAGTTGTTATGAAGACGTGACACTACTTTTGTCCTATTGGTCGAATTATGTTTCAGGAGAAGAAGGACAACAGTGTATTCTTTAAAGTCAGGAGGTGTTAACTGATAACGTAGTAAGGCCAGAATCAGACTACGTATTGAAGAATGAGATTGAAGATTAAAAGATTAAAATTTGACCAATCAGAACAAAAGGAGCCAAAATTTCTTTGTCCTCATTGGTGAAATTTCAATCTTTAATCTTTAATCTCTATCTTCAATGCATAGTCTGATTCCTGCCTAAGGGCCTGCGCACAATAGAACAAATATTAGGAACAGGACTAAATATTGTATTGGGTCATTTAAAAAGTATCCGCGATTTTTTGTCACTAGATGTGTGTTGATGGTCATATATCTAGTGACAAAGTACCGCGGATACTTTTTAGATGACCCAATACAATATTAATGGACTAAATATCAATTCTAAGCAAACGTGTCATTAAATCATAAAATCGTAGCTTGCGAAGTTCTCATAAGAAACAGAGTTACATTTTTACATAAACTATTATTCTGTACTCGTATCTGTATCGCATATCGTATAGTTACGATTGAACGTTAAGATTTACAAATATCAGCCACTCACTAGCGAAAAACCTCTAGGCATCAGCTGCTGTGAATGGCTGTCCATTCGTAAAATAGTCCAATCGGAATCTTTCTGACAATCGTGTGACGTGTGGTATGTTATTCTAATGCGTGGTCTATAATGACAGTATCAGTAATGGATGAGGCTGTAAGAGTAAGAAATTGACCAATCACAGTCGATTATTCTTCTCACATTCAACTGTGGTTGAATAATTTGTTATCTCTTACAATCTCATTCACTATTGCTACTGCCATTGTAGACCATGCATAAATTTAGTCGTGAGCGTAAAAAAATTATCAAAATATTTAATGTGAAAAATATTTCAGTTAAAAAATGAGGTATATATATCAATTATTAAGTTTTATGTGTAATTATAAAATACTTTTTTCACATTTTTGACATCATTGAGATATTCTTCATAATATAACTTAACTTTAAGTTATATTATTCACAGTTCTCGCGCGCGCGCATGCGATAACATCAGACAGAAAGAGAAAAGGAAAAAACGAAAAAGAATACATCAAAATATATCAAAAGAGCAATATGAATATATATCATTTATCTCTATTTATCATTTTTGGAAAATGATTAATAGCCTTCAGAAGCGAAACAGTAGACTATCCTACTTTAGGTGAAAATTATATTTCTCAAAAGTGAGAAGAATTATCGAATAAACTTAATGCAATGGGTGCTGGTCCATATTTAAATGAATGGCAAAAGTATTGGATCATCTAAAAAGTATCCGCGGTACTTTGTCACTAGATATATGACCATCAACACACATCTAGTGACAAAAAACCGCGGATACTTTTTAGATGACCCAATATGACCATCAACACACATCTAGTGACAAAGTACCGCGGATACTTTTTAGATGACCCAATATATAGTACATGTAACATATATTATAGCATATAGAGTAAAATCTTTCTCGGACAGGAAGTTTTGGAACGTAGCCCTAATAAAAAATTAAATTCTATTCTTAAAAAGGTAGTTAAGGTCCTGCGCACGAAAGGAATAAAGAATAAATGATTTCAATCTATCAAAAATCGTATGTTCCGATGTATTCAATTTCTATTAGGTTAAAATCGTTTATTTTTTTCTCTTAATTCCTTATTCCTTTTATTGTGCACAGGATCTTATATGGATTGCTAGCAGCAACTTGGTAGTTATCCCATGCAACAGAAAGAGAGATATGTATGTATGTACAGAGTGCGGCGTCAAAATCCGGACAAATTTCAAATTGAAATTCCCTCCGTTCAATACCATTGGTAGATATCGCGATTGGCATTCAAATAA